CATTCACCTGTCTAGCTCCACCCAGTTTATCATCACTGTTGATCTTATTAACCCACTCCTGCCTCTATTTAAGCTGCTTTATCCCAGTCATCAGTGCCAGATTATCGGTCTCCGCCAGTCACGTGACTTTTGTTGCTAAGACGCCATTTTAGGTGGAAAAGGCGTAGTGTAAACAACCGCAGCATAGCTAAACGAAGGACTAAAGGCCCGTTTACATAGCAGCCTGTCCAAGATAAGTCATTACAGTTAACATAAGCCTGAAAACAGGGGCGGATTTAGGAAAATCGGTCTCCGCCAGTCACGTGACATTTGTTGCTAAGACGCCATTTTAGGTGGAAAAGGCGTAGTGTACCGCGCCCGAGGTAAACAATTGACGTCACTTGGCGGAGACCGATTTGAGCCTTTGTTGAGAGTTCTCTAGCGCACCTTTTGTTGTTCTGATTGGCTGATCCAGACCAGTTCTGCCCTTTGACTTTTGAGCCCGCCCATTCCTGCTTCGGATTTGTTTGCCTGATCTGTCTTTGGACTCCTGCTGGTTTCTGCCTGTGGACTGAACCTGGACCTGACTCTTGACTTCGACTTGGATTTCCCGTCGGTACCTCTTCGGATCTTTGATCTTCTGGTCTGGACTCCTGTTAAACTCTTCGACACCGGCTTTGGCTTCGTCTTCCGAAAAGTCCCACTTTCCTTCGTCTGCTTGGATCTGAATGTCAGCCAGTTTAGCAGCCTTCAGACTCCTGCTCCTGGCGGCGTTTGCTGTGTGCTGTTGTATACCATCCGGCTGGATTCCACTCCTTCTTCTGGGCACAGACTGAACTCTAAAACCATGTTTGCGACTCACGCTCGTAATTGTGGTCACTAACCTGAGTTTTCCCTACACAGAAATTCCGGCCTTTGACGCCCTTGTTGCTGAGTTGCAGATCCGACGTATTTCGTGAATCACGCTTATCTGTCTGCTTCGAATTCTGGGTTCTCAGTTCTGAGCCTTGACAGAAACATATTAACCTTGTGTAAACCAAGAATTCTCCTGCAAAACAACATTAACAATTTAACATAACAATTTAATTAAGAAAAAGAATAATTTTAACCAGCTTTGACATCTATGTCTATTTAATGGCCAGCAGTTTATTTTTTTTATAATGAAGGATTTTATCTCATCTTGTCTTGTTCTTTGTTATACATTACATTGACTAAGAAGCTTGGAAGGATGCAAGACATTTGGACATTTTCTCCCACTAGTTTTTTACTCCTATATATCATAATTCATGGAAGAAGAGTAACTTGAGACTTTAACATTTCTAACAACCCTGTCCTCAGAGCCTGTCCAGCACATTTGGTGCCTTAAGATGATAAAAATGTATTTATTATCTGTAAATTTAAATAAAAAGAGTAAAACTAGAATTTTCTTATTTCCTTGTTTGAGCTTTTGTGTTTAAGTCACAATTTATTCAGTGTTTCTAGTGTGTGAGGTGAAGGTGGGGTGTTTCTGTGTAACTCAATCTCCCTCAACACAGACAACAGACATATGGTCACCAGGCAGGATGACATAACAGTTGCAGCTGGGAATAACCTCACACCTATAAAATATATGCTTATTGCTGTTAATCTTATGTTTCTGATACTTTATCTTCACACATCTGCGTCTAAACGTCCACGCCTCAGCATAAACAAGGGTGTTCTCTAAGAGTTCTGGCTTCACTTACTTATCCTTCCGGTGGTCTGTCAGGTATTCGTGCCCACGCCTCTATCTTCTTTCTGATGTCTCCTCCATCCAGTCCTCATCTCGCCATGGTTGGTTCCTCCAGCTCACCTTCTGCCCTCAGGTTTTCCCTTCTCTGCTGTGTCTCCCTCACACACCCCTGAAGGATCGGTTGCTGGTGAGCGTGCTGCCCCTGTCACATGAGAAACCAAGAGCCTGACACCTTATGCTTTAACTGCTTCGCTGCCAAATGTCATGTTGATTGGATGTAAAATTTACACGTTTGAGCAGCGGACACCAAAAAGTGCTGAAATAGCTAAATTAGGCCATTCAGCTAATTTTAGCCTGAGATTATTTTAGGAAACACTTAAAGGGACCAAACTGACATTAAACGATTGAATCATATCCAGAATATAAAAAAAGACTGACTTCTATTCATTTTAATAACTGACCCCTTAATATAGGCTCTGGAATAAATACTGAAGCTCTTAACATCCAAATATTTATAACTTTACATTCACTTCATTATTTCTGCAACAATCAAAGTAATCCACATATATAAGAAAAAAACAAGTAAAATCGATTCAGAAATTGGGTTATGGTTAAATTTGGGGTTATTGTTCTTCTTTTGGTAATAACCAACTTATGGAGAAACATGTATAATTGTTCAGGGGGGATTTGGGGTCATTCTTTTATTTTATTTACAGCTGTTTTCAGATCTTAAAGACACTCTGCATAATAACCTTCTGTTCTTTCCTAGCTTTTTAGCAAGTGAACCCAGATGTTGAAAGTTAATTTGACTGAGTAATTGAAGCTCATTGTTCTGTAAATTACAGCAAATTTGAAAACTTAAACCTTGGACTTAATTTGAATTATTTGTGTATAATATCAATGACAGACTGCTGCACCCTAAATGCACCAGGGAGCGTTATCACAGATCCTTCCTCCCAGCAGCTGTAAGACTGTATAACCATCATTGTTACCAATAATCTCAATAAGTTGCTACTTTCATGCTGATTTTTGCACAGTTTCTGTGTTAGTTATTTAATAACATACTGCTGTCATTTTTGCACATCTCTGGTGTTGCTGCTATTTTCACATAACCATTGCTATAAAAATGTCCACAACCGTATATTATTTATTCTACAGATCCACAGTATATATATTGTAAAATCACTGTAGAGTACAACATTGTTTAATTTATAGCTCTGTCGCTTATTTTGTTATTTTTATAAACGTTTTAAGGACCACGTTTCTGTGGTCATTTTTGCTGTCATATTTGCTGCTGTAACACCTAAATTTCCCCATTGTTGGACAATAAAGGGATTTCTGTTCTATCCTAGCTGCAATGTTTTTAATTAATGTAACATATTCTTGTGTTTTTTGAGTAAATTTAAGTTAAACCTTGGACTTGCATTTATTAAACGTAGGCATATAAAGAGAAACTGAACTGTAGTAGGGAGGTAATGGGGTAGTCTTGACAATAAGTTCGCTTTAGCCTTGGGTGGTTCTAGACTGGAGCAAACAGGGACCAGTGCACCTGTAGAACTGGTATTGGCCCCTGTAATGGTATAATACTAAAATGTATCATGATGATGTGTGCTGGCCCTGAAACCAGAACTGAAAGGTCCCTTGAGTATTTTTTTCTTTTTTTTTTTTTTTTT